TCATTGCATACCCAAAACATAACTGTACATCCACCAATATTTCAGATGGCATAAATCATGCCTCAAAGTATACAAATCAACTTTTGAGAGAATGTAATGACTTCAAGTCAAAGGATAGTTATACTAATGGTCGCATGAGAATAATATTAACACTTTAACTCAAACCCATATATTATTCTCATAGCGGGTCAATCCAGCAACATATCCAATATGGTTGCCTACGTATAGATTCAGATAACACTTTATCTATAGCCTATGAGACGCAGCTATCTCATCTCATACGTATTAGTCTTGATATATTATGATGTCCGTATTGTCATAATATTCGACTAAGGATATTTTAGACGTAGCCTCTATCTTTGTAACAGCCTCATAATTAGAATGTCGTAGTTCTCATCTATGTTACTAGAGCGCCTACTCTATGGACTAAAGCTATGTTTAAATCACACGAGATGACTTAAACAATCTTTAAGGCCTATATTCTTGATATACTATAGATATGGAATCATAAGTTGGCCTCTAGGGCTCACTTATATTCAACACAAACTACGTTGGGGTTGTACATGTGCCTAGGTTCATAATAGTTAGAGGGTTTAACCATTTTGTTCCTATTTTGTGAAAAAGATGGTCTTTGAAAATTTTGAAATTGGCCTTTTCTGGGTGCTCTAACATTATTTCTCCTAATTTGAGAAAAGTTGGTTTTATGCACAAAATCATTTTTCTTAGGTTGTCTCCATGACCATTTTCATTCCTAGGTTTTAGTCTAGGTCGTCTAGTGTCCTTAGGTTGACTAGGTTTTCTATTATCCTGATTTTTAGGTTTCTTATGTTGAACCTTAGATGGTTGTCTAGGTGGTGGCTCAACATTTTCTTTAACCTTAGCTTCATTTTTATTGAAACCTATTCCTTCCTTGGAAAAATGCATAGTGTCAAGAAGTAAATTTAAATCTTTGTGAGGAGTATTAAATTTCTTGACCGTGCTCTCAAGTTTAGTGACTTGCTCTTTTAAAGCTTTACAAGACTCACATTCACTTGAGGAACTTTCCAGTTTGTCAGCGCTTCTTTTTCCAAAAAATTTGTTTCCTTGTTTTAGTTTTTCATTGTCTTTTTCCAATTTTTCAAAATCGTTTTCAAGTGTAGAAAGACGTTTCTTCAAAGATTTATTCGTTTTAGAAGTGCTAACGAATTCTTCATAAAGTTCATGAAGTGCTTCTTGCATTTCTTCAAAAGTATAAGAGTCGGAAGAAATGGTACATACCTCTTGGATGTCGTCGGTTTGATCTTCGTGCGCCATGAGGCAAAGATTTGCAGCTTCGTCCTCCTCTTGGTCGGTTGATTCGTCGCCGGAATCACCACCCCAAGAGATGTAAGCCCTTTGCTTCTTGAAGCCGGGCTTGTCCTTGTCGTGCTTGGCTTTTGGACACCTTGGCTTGATGTGGCCGATCTCGCCACAGCTGTAGCACTTGGGAGGACCGTCTTGCTTCTTTCCCTTCCGCTCAAACTCCTTCTTCATGAACTTGTGAAACTTCTTGATGACGAGTCCAAATTCGTTGTCGTCATCGCTAGAAACCTCTTGCACCGGTTCCTTGGTGGCTTTGAGAGTTATCCCCTTTTTCTTCTGTTCGTCCAATGATGGAATAAGAATGGTAGATTCGTAAGCTTTGAGATTACCTCTTAATCCATCAATTGTGACGTTGGAAACTCCAATAGACTCGTAAATGGCATCGGCCTTGGAGCGCCATTCGGGAGTTAAGTTTCGAAGGATCTTCCTCACTAGATCCTTGTTGGAGTAGCTTTATAACAATTTTCTACACCCAAAATTATTTTGGAACCCACAAGAATTCTCTCTCTCTCTTCTCCTTTTCTTGGCCGAACAATGGAGTGGGTGTGTATGTTAAAGTGGTTCCATTTTTATTCAAAAACATAAAACACAAAAAATCACAATATGACAAAATCATTTTGTTCAATGCTCCTCTTCCACACATTTGAAAGTGGGAAACAACACCACCATGTGATGATATTTGTACGAAATGGTGAAGGGGGAGGAATTGAATTCTTCTCCTCTCAAATGTTTAAAGTGTATTTTATTTGACATCAATAATTTTTATGATATAAAATAAAATACCCAAAACATTTTAACACAAGTATATAAAATATACTTTAAACTAGTTTTTGTCAAAATAATTATTTTCATAATTAAAATGACACTCCAAAATAAAATGTACACAATATAATATATAAAGTAATGTATACATACATATACACGTTACATACATATTAGACACATATATATGCTTGTACATATAATAAGTATATGTATATATTTATGTGCTGTATATGCATATATACACACATATATATTCGTACATGCAACATGTACGTATATATATTTATATGTGCCGTGTACAATGTATATACATACATATATACTATATTAAACATTTTACTTTACTATTTTACAATATACAAATTAAATATTATCCCTTCTTATAATCCTACTCTTTAAATTGTTCAAAGTGTGTGACCCATATAGGCACTTATAAAACTGGCCACAGTATTGACTCTACACCAATACTATAAGTAATAAGCGGCATCTAGCAACACATTATTACCCCCAGATTATAAGTTCAAACGTTTGCTCCGTCAAAACCTTTCTACGACTAAGACTTTGTATAACGTAGATCCTTTTGTCCCAATGTCTTAACTTAGTGCAAGGGATATAAAATATCCAACTTGTAGCCATTAAGTTATTTACTGATTAACAAGTCTGACTGATGAGAACAGATGTCTAAACTCATCTCAGCATGGCCATGCATTTCTTCAGTCATA